CCTGGCTCACGGCTCGGCGTTCCTGCGGCGCTGCCGGCCTGGGCTAAGCCCCAGGGCTCACCTCCGTGCCTCTGCTCTCCCTGCTGCCTTAAAAAGTCCGGTAAGTGAGGAATTCCTTCAGCTTCCTGGGAATGGGCAGCGCCAGCACCTGGTAGGTTGTGAGGAAGGTGCGCAGGGCTTTGCGGCACAAGTGCTTGAGCGACGAGAGGACTCTTGGGGCTGTCCAGAACTGGACGTGGCCATCCCTGGTCCTGCAACGGGATCCAAACACCCCTGAGCACATGGCAGAGGGACATGAGGAATCCCAGCTGGCCCCAAATATTCCCAAGCTTGCCAGGAGCACGTGTTCCCAAGCCCAGGAAAACTATCCCCAGGGAAACCCAGAATTTGCTGAGCTGCAGGAGGAGGGAGCAGCCCTGTGTTTCTCCACCCTCTCCTGTTTACTCACCCCGTGGCAATGAATCCTCCATGTGGGAAGTACATGCAGCACAGACCGTTGGTCATGGGGGCAAAGGCCACTGGAGACCGAAACTCCAAGGCCCAGATCCTCAGGAGCCTGTGGAGAAAGGGAGAGGACACAATGCAGTGTCTGCTGCCAAAATAAAGCCTCTGGGAGCACCTGAAGACACAAAAACAAGGATTTGCTTCCCATGGGAGTGTCCTAGGGAGGACTGTCCCCTGCTGAGCGAGTGACATGCTGAGGGTGGCGCAGCACCCAGGGGGACACGTACCTCAGCTCAGGGTGACAGGGCCCTGACCTTGCTAGCCCTTGTCACAGCCAAGCCATGGTGTTCCCACTGCCTGACCTTCCCACTTACTCCAGGAGTTGGTGGGGACCTGGTGCATTTATTCCCCACCTCCTGAGCTCCTGGTTCATTCTGGTCTCCTCCTGGGCCCCTCTGTGGGTCCCCACAGGGGTTCACTCACCTGTCATCTGCCACCGTGGCCAGGTAGAGCCCCTCAGGGGAGAAGCAGACGGAGCGCAGGGAGCTGGTGTGGATTTCACTGCTGGAATCCAGCGCAGAGTGCAACGGGACGTGGCTGTGGGTCAGGACAACATCCCAGCATCAGCTCTGAGCTGCCACCAGCCCCCTCCCCAGCTGAGGCTGGCAGAGCTGCCAAACTTGGCAAGCCAGACCCCCATCCTGCCTCTGGAAGCAGAGGAGTGGTGATGGCTGTGCCCAGCGAGAAGGAAAAGTCACATCCAGCCCTAAAAACCTCCCTGGCTTTGCTCTGTCCTGTCCCACAGTGTCCCCATGGTCCATTACCACAGTGTAGAGATGGTGGCTGTGCCCATCCAGCCCTAAAAACCTCTCTGGCACCGCTGTGTCCCCTCCCAGGTCTGTACCGCAGCGTCCTGAGCTGCTCCCCGGTGTAGGGGTCCCACATGATGACACAGGCGTCATAGGAAGCGGTGACAAGGAGCGCAGAGTCCGGGGAGAAGTCACAGGACACCACACTGCTCTGGTGGCCCTCCAGCCTGCGGATGAGGGTGTAGGATCTCATGCTCCACAGCAGCGCCTGCGGGGTTTGGGCAGGGGATCAGGCTGGGAGCATCCCAAGGTTTGAAGCACATGGGTTCTGCTCCCAACTTCCAGCTCCTGAGGAGCCAGGGCTGGCCTGGCCCTTCTCCCAGGGGGTTTCTGGAGACATAAAGGGCTGGATTCAGCAGGGCCAGGGGTGGCTCCCATCCTGCAGGACTCACCGACTTCTCTCCAGCAGCAGAGCAGAGCATGCTGCAGTCCGGGGAGATGGAGCAGCAATAGACCCACTGCACATGGCCCGACAGCACCTGGACCTGCCGCCCTGGGGACAGCAGAAATGTGTCACCAGAGGGGAACAGGACTCCTTGCCTCTGCTCTCCCTCCCTTTCCCCAGTGGGAAACCGAGCTGGGGATTCCCTGGGTAAATCCCAAGGCAATGCCCTCCTGCATCTCCCAGGTTACCCTCTGCTCCCTGTCACAGGGCCTTCTGCCTCAAATGCTGTCCCCAAGATCCTCTCCCACCATCTTCCCTCCCGAGATGAGTTCCTCCCCATTCCCTGACCCAGCACGGGGATGTCCCTGCATGCTCCTACCGTCCCTGCTCAGGTCCCACACGCGCAAGGTCTTGTCCCTCGAGGCTGACACGAGGATGGGGCTTCCATTGGGAGCGAAGCTCAGGTCCCTGACGACATCCTGGTGTCCCAAGAGGCTGAAGAGGAGGTGCCCTGCAGAGAGGAGCCCTGCTCAGTGCCATCCATCCATGGGGAATGAGGCAGAGCCCCTCGTGCAGCCGACAGGGCAGGTATTGGGGAAGGAGGGAGATGGGATCTCCTTGCACAGGGGAACAAGGGGACAGCCAGCCTGAAGCCACCACAGCGAGGGCTGCTCACCTGTCTGCACCTCCCACACCTTGATCTGCCCGTCGTTGAGCCCGGTGGCCAGGACCAGGCAGGGAAGCCCCGCGGCACAGGCAGGATCTGAGTCCCCATCCTCAGCTGCTGGCCAGGCACTGAAGGCCAGGCCCCACACGATCTGCCCACACTCCAGAGTCTTCTCCTTGGCCGCCCCACGGCTCCAGGTCTCCGCTTTGCCGCCCCGGCTCTTGCGCTCTGAGGTTTTGCAGCTGCTGGAGGGAGGCAGGGATGGGTAGAGTGTTCACCCCGAGACCCCCAGCTCCATGCACCCAGCTTCATCCCACACTGGGCAACTCCTGGGATCAATCCAAGCTGGAGCATGAATGGACAGAGAGCAGCACCGGGAGGACTTTGGTGCTGGTGGATGAGGGCTGGCCATGCCCTAGCCCAGAAACACCCTGGGCTGAGCCCCAGCATGGGCAGCAGGAAAGGAGAGGGAATTCTGCCCCACTCAGGTGAGATCCCACCTGCAGAGCTGCCCCAGACCTGGGGTTCCCAACATCAAAAGGATGTGGAACTGCTGGAGTGACAGCAGAGGAGATGCTCCAAGGGCTGGAGCCCCTCTGCTCTGGAGCCAGGCTGGGAGAGCTGGGGGTGCTCACCTGGAGAGGAGAAGCTCCAGGGACACCTCAGAGCCCCTTCCAGGGCCTAAAGGGGCTCCAGGAGATCTGGAGAGGGACTGGGGACAAGGGATGGAGGGACAGGACACAGGGAATGGCTCCCACTGCCAGAGGGCAGGGCTGGATGGGATATTGGGCAGGAATTGTTCCCTGGCAGGGTGGGCAGGCCCTGGCACAGGGTGCCCAGAGCAGCTGGGGCTGCCCCTGGATCCCTGGCAGTGCCCAAGGCCAGGTTGGATGGGGTTTGGATCAGCCAGGGACAGCAGAAGGTGTCCCTGCCATGGCAGGGGGTGGATGAGATGGGCTTTAGGGTCCCTTCCAGCCCAGACCATTCCATGACTCCGCACTCACAGCTCGGCCTCCCCCAGGGGCCACGGGATCAGCTTGACCACGCAGTGTCCCTGGGACCAGGCGAACCAGGCCCCGTCAGGGGAGAAGGCGACGCTCCAGGTCTCGCAGCTGGATTTCCAATCGTAGCGCTGGGGCCGGCCCGGCTTCAGCTCCGCCAGCAGCACCGGCTCCTCTGCGGCGGGACGGCCCCGTTACCCGCGGATCCCCAAAAAGCGCCGTCACCCCTCACATCCCCAGCCCCCGCTGTGCCCCCGCCCGGTCCCGCTCACCTCCGCTCGGCTTCATGGCGGCCCCGCCGCCCGCTCGGCCCCGCCGGGCCCGCCCGGCCCAGGGCGGCGGCGGCGGCGGCGGAAGCGGCGGCGAGGGGAGGGGAGGGGACCCGGAGCCACCTCCTCCGGCCCCGCCAGCGAACGGCACCGCCCCGGAGCGGGGAGAGCGGGGATGGGCCGGGAGAGGGACGGGAGAGGGACAGGAGAGCGGGGATGGGCCGGGAGAGGGACGGGAACGAACCCCCCGAGGGAGACACGGCGGGCACCGGGCCCGCCCCCACCCGCCGGGCCCGGGGAGCAGCGACCCCCTCAGGGACCCCCCACCCACAGAGTGACACCCCCACACCAGTGACACCCCAGCACCCACACAGTGACCCCCACACCAGTGACACCCCCAGGGCCCACAGAGTGACCCCCACCCACCAGTGATCCCCCCCCCAGGACCCAGCAGCCGCTGGATGACCCCCCCCCATTCAGCACCCCAAGGATCTCATTGACCCCCCCTTTAGCAGCACCCCGATGACCCCGCGCCCCCACATCGTCCCCCCCAAGTACCCCCCTTTGAGCCCCTCCAGCCCCCTCTGGCTGATGCCCACCCTGGCGGTGCCTGCCGTAAGTCCTGTGGCCAGCGCACCCCCGCACCCCGAGTTCCGCAGCCTCCAGCCTCCCCAGTACCCCTCACCAGGGCAGGGATATCCCCCCTCGGCCCCCAGTGCCCCCCATCCTCTCTGGCTCGGGGTCCCTGGTGCAGCGAGGCCGGGCTGCAGGGAGCCGTGGGGTTGGGGTGCTGCACCCACAGACCCCCCAGGACCTGCTGGAGTCCCCCCAGATGGGCTCAGCGCGTCCCCTCTGAGGGCTGGGGTCACCCGCAGGTCCCTTGGGACCCTCCTCCCTCCCCTGAATTCCAGCGTTCACCAATTCCCCTCCACTTTGGGGTCCAGCCCGAGCCCCCCGCCCCGGGGGACACCCACCCCTTGTGCCCCTCAGCTCTGACACGACAGACGCCCCCCCCCACCACCACAGGTACCACCGCTCTGCCAGGCCCCGTGCCTCAGTTTCCCCGCCTCTAGGACGGAGGGTGGCTTTGCTCTGTGGTCCCCGTGGTGGGACCCCCACGGTGGGCACGGTGCCACCCCAGCCGCGCTCGCCCGCGGCTCGGGCTCAGGTGGGAGCGGAGCGGCGACAAAAACAACCGAGAAGAGGAAAGAGGAAGAAGCGACGGGGAGAAGCGGCGGAGGAGGAGGAGGAGGAGGAGGAGGCCGGTGCTGGCAGCCCCGCCGGCGCTTTGCGGGGGCTCAGGACACCCCCGGGCACCCATAGCAGCCCCCCAGGTGCCCACCCCGAAGCCTGAAGGTCGCCGGCATGGCCAAAACCACCTCGCTACGCTGCCGGGTGCTGGAGGGGAAGGACCTGCCCGCCAAGGACGTGTGAGTGGCTCGGGGGGCTCAGGGCCCCCTGTTTCCCCCAGACCCATCCCGGGAGGTGTGGTGGGGAGGGGATGTTGGCTGCTCTGCCCTCCCAGGGTGTTCTTCTCTCCGTACAGTTTTGGGGGTCTCTGCTTGCACCCATTACCCCCAAAGTGGGGGTCTGGGGTGTGCAGGGACTGCCAGCCCCCCCCCACCCCAATCCCCCAGGGGTGTATGAGCCCCCCAACCCCTTCAGCATCCCTTTCGTGCCTCCCAGCAGGGTGGGCACAGAGGATGTCCCCAAACCTGGGGGTGACACTGGGGGGGGGGGCACAGCCCCTGCACCCCGACCCCTGCTGGGCAGCTGCACCCTTTGGGGGGTGCTGGGGTGAGCGGGGGGTGCAGGGAGACCCCCGCCCGCTCCTGCTCCGAGGAGCTGGCAGTCCCGGGTACCTCCGGATGTGCCAACCTGGCACCGCCGGCCGCTCCCAGCGCCGGGCAGCCGGGATCGGTGCCGTGTCCTTGCCTCAGTTTCTGCCCCCGGAGGTGTCGCGGTGCCGCGCTGGGTGTCCCACTGAGGGGGTCTGGGCACAGCGGGCGATCTGCACAATGATGGGGTTCCTCCCAGCGCCCCCAAATCCCGCTTGGGGCTGTCGTGGGGCTGCAGGGAGGGTCGGGGTGAGCCGCTCCCGCTTCCCGTCCCGTGGTAGGGATAAAGGCTGAGGTCACCTCCTTCATCCATCTCGGGGTCCCAATCCTTGTGGAAGCACCTCCTGGGGATTTGGGGCTCCAGCAGCACCCCAGGGCCAGCGCCCCTCGGCGCTGCTCCAGCTGCCATAAACCAGCAGAAAGGGGGGGCCGGGTGGATGATCCCTGGATCCAGCCCTCATCCCTCTGCCCTGTGCTCCCGGTGGAAAGGGCCAGACCGGTGGCACCCGCCACCGTGGGCTGTCACAGAGGCTCGGGCTGCTGGACAGACAGCGGTACCCGCGGGTGGGTGACACAGGGACACGCGGCGATGGCTCGGGGTGACCCACAGCAGGTCCCTCGGCTCAAGGAGGGCCGGGAAATGTCCCCATCGCGGTGTCAGCTGCAGGGCCAGGCTGAGACCGGGCAACTCACCTCAGCGCCGGGGCTGGTGCTGGGGTTTGAGGCCCCCCAGGATGGGAGATCCCCGAGTGGGGGCTGACCCTGGGCACCACCATCCCCTGCCCAGGACCGGCTCCAGCGATCCCTACTGCGTGGTCAAAGTGGACAACGAGGTGGTGGCCAGGTAAGGGGACACTGTCCCACGCTGGGAGGGGACACGCAGGAGTGGGAGATCTGCCCTGGCTCGCAGCCACCTCTGCCATCCCGGCAGGACAGCCACGGTGTGGAAGAGCCTGAACCCTTTCTGGGGTGAGGAAATCACGCTGCTTTTGCCCCGGGGATTCCACGGCCTCACCATCTACGTGCTGGATGAAGACACCATCGGGTATGGGGACGACACGGGCAGGGGGCACCCCCGAGGGGTGGCAGGTCCCCAGCAGTGTCCTGCTGTGTCTGTTCCCCCACAGGCAGGACGATGTCATTGGCAAGGTCTCGCTCAGCCACCAGCAGATCTCGGCCGAGCCGCGGGGTGAGTGGGGGGCACGGCAGGGTGGGGGGACAGCGGGACCCATGCTGGCACCACGGGGTGCCCACGCTGTCCCCCTCGGCAGGCATTGACAGCTGGCTCAGCCTGGCACCGGTGAACCCCGACCAGGAGGTGCAGGGCGAGATCCACCTGGAGCTTCGAGTCCCCGAGCGGGGCCACCCGCGGGTGCTGCGCTGCCACCTCATCCAGGCCAGGTTGGGGGGCTGGCAGCGCCGGGGGGGCTGCGACCACCGCGGGGTCCTCGTTTTGGTGGGAGGGAGGAGAGGAGGGGACGGGGACAGTGGTGGGGTTTGTGTTTTATTTTCCACATTCGGAAGGATCCTCGCTGTGCCAGGTTGGGGACATCAGCGGCGCCAACCCACGTGTGATGATGCCATGGGGGCTCAGTGAGAAATGTGCTGCCATCCCTGCTTGGGGACAGGGACACAGGAGCCCCACGGAGTACCCAGGGTTGGTCCCCAGCAGAGTGGTTGGCTCTCACACCATATTTTTGCCCTTTGCTTTCAAAACTTGGGGAAACTGAGGCACGTCCCGGGCTGCCCGTCTGGGTGTGGGGGTGTAGATGTGTGTACAAGTGTGTGCACGCGTGTGAGCGTGCACGGGGACACACACGCGGTGACACACACACACGGTGACACACACATGGTGGCACACACACAGACACGCACAGCTGACAGATGGAGCAGCCGGCAGAGGCAGCATCCCGCTGCCATGGCAACCAAAGCGGCTACCAAGGCAACAGGATGGCCATGGGGACAGGGTGGCCATGGGGACAGCCAGGAGGGGCGGCAGCACCCCCCACAAGGGACTGGAGGAGGAAGAGCTCCCCTGGAAATGGAAGCACGATCTCCCCAGCATCTGCCCCACATGCCCGGCCGAGCTGGGACAACGCGGGGATGTTGGGCTGCAGGGACCGCGATGGAGGGGACAAACCCGCTGTGCCCCCGCTGACCCCCATGTCCTCACAGGGACCTGGCCCCCCGCGACCCCTCGGGCACCTCGGACCCCTTTGGCCGGGTGTCGTGCTGCGGGCACACGTTGGAGACAGCCGTGAGTCAGGGCTGGCTGCTGGCTGTGGCAGCCGGTCCCCCGCCGAGCCAGGAGGCTCAGGGACCCTCGGGCACCTCCTCGTCCCCTCGGTCAGCAGTCCCTGTGCCCAGCAGGTGGTTAAGAGAAGCCGCTTCCCGCACTGGGATGAGGTGCTGGAGTTCGAGCTGCCGGAAGGGGAGCTGGGAGAGGCTGCGCTGAGCGTGGAGGTTTGGGACTGGGACATCGTGGGCAAGAATGACTTCCTGGGCCGGGTGAGGACCTCGGGGCACGCCGGAATGGGGCAGGCTCCTGGGGGCACCTCTGCACCCCCCTGTGTGGGGTCTGGGTGACCACAGGTTAGCACCCACCGGGATGGGGCAGTGCCACCCTGCGTGTCCTGGGCTGTCCCCAAGGGAGGTGCAGCACAGGGAACTGGCACGTCCTCCCCCCATCCAGACCTGCCTCTGTCCCCCAGGTCGAGTTCTGCTTGGACTCCCTCTGCCCGGGCCCCACCAGGGGCTGGTTCCAGCTCCTGCCCTTCCCCAGCACCACCAAGGACCGCGGGTGAGTGCAGGCAGAGGGGACAGGTGGTTGTGACCAAAGCAGAACGAGGTGGCCCCCATGGAGAGTCCCGTGTGAGTCCCCCGTGTCATTGCAGGGGACAGCTGGGTGCCCTGAGGCTGGCAGTGAGGCTGCTGGAGGACACGGTCCTGCCCTCCCACCACTACCAGCCCCTCATCCAGCTCCTCACCGAGCCCATCCTCTGCCCGGCCCAGGTGGGTGCTGGGGCTGCAGGGAGCTTTGGGGTGACCTCGCAGTGTGGAGGCCTCGCTGTGCCCACCCTGCCCTCCCCACAGTCCCCCGAGGGCACGGCCCTGGCTGTCCTGGAGGAGGTGACCTCAGGGGAGAGCCGGCAGGAAGTGGCCACCAAGTTGGTGAAGATCTTCTTGGGCCAGGGCTTGGCTGTGCCCCTCCTGGACTACCTCACCACCCGCGAGCTGGCCAGGACCAGTAAGTGCCCAGGGCCACCCCGAGAAACCCCAAGCCAGGGTCCTCCCAGATCTCCAGGGAGAAAGAGTGAGACACCAAGGAGGAGGCAGGAAAGGTGCCACGTGTCCCTGAGGTTGGGCACACCAGGGACAGCTGGGATGTCACCCTGTGCCTGCCTTGCCACAGCCTCTGTGCTCTTCCAGCTGATCCCAACACCCTCTTCCGCTCCAACTCGCTGGCCTCCAAATCCATGGAGCAGTTCATGAAGGTGAGCATGGGGACACTTCCATGATGTCCCAGCAGGGCACCTGGGGACAAGGACAGTGCCTTCCCATCCCTTGCAGGTGGTGGGGCTGCCCTACCTGCACGGGGTCCTGAAGCCAGTGGTGAACCGCGTCTTTGAGGAGAAGAAATACGTGGAGCTGGACCCCGGCAAGATGGAGCTGAGCCGGGGCAGGTGGGCACAGGGGGATGTCTGGGAGGGGCACAGGGCACCTGCCCTGTCCCTGTGTCCCCTGCAGGAAGGGGCCACCTATTGCTGCTGAGCCCACGGGTCGCTTTTGGCCAGCTCAGGGTCCCCATTCCTGGTGTCCCTGACCTGGCGGTGTCCCCACAGGAGGTTCTCCTTCAAGGGGTCCCTGTCGGAGGCGCAGGTGCGGGAGAGCAGCCTGGAGCTGCTGAAGGGCTACCTGGGGGACATCATCGATGCCATCGTGGGCTCGGTGGACAAGTGTCCCCTCCCCATGAGGGTGGCCTTCAAGCAGCTGCGCAGGCGGGCGGAGGAGCGATTCCCCTCGGCACAGCACGAGGTGGGGCCACGGTGGGGCTGGGGGTCTGCACAACCCCAGGACCACCACCCCAAGCTCTGGGCTGTCCCTGTCCCCATCGCTGTCCCTGTTCCCCACCCAGGAGGTCCGGTACTTCTCCATCAGTGGGTTTCTCTTCCTTCGCTTCTTCGCTCCCGCCGTCCTCACCCCGAAGCTCTTCGGGCTCCGGGAGCAGCACGCGGAGCCCTGCACCGGCCGCACGCTCCTGCTGCTCGCCAAGGTGGGGGAAAGGATGGGGACACCAGGGAGGAGTGGGGACCCTTGGGAAGGGAGGGGACATCGGGGAGGGATGGGGATCCTTGGGGAGGGTGGGAGACACCAGAGAGGGATGGGGATCCTTGGGGAGGGTGTGGGGACCTGAGGAGGGATGGAGACACTGAGGAGGGATGGGAACCACAGGAGAGGGTTGGGGAGCCCAGGGAGGGTGGGAATCCTGGGGAGGGATGGGGATCCTTGGGGATGAACAGGGGTCTTGAGGAGGGATGGAGACTCCAGTGAGGGACGGGAACCCTTGGAGAGGGATGGGGTCCTTGGGGATGAATGAGGACCCTTGGGGTGGGTGAGGGACCTGCAGAGGGATGGGGACCACTGGGAGATACAAGAGTTGTGGGGAGGGTTAGGGACTGCCCAGGGAGTGTTTGGGACTTCAGGGAGAAACCTCAGAAAGGACAGAGACTTCTGTGGGGGATGTGGAGAGATGGGAACCCACAAGGGATGGGGAGGCCAGAAAGGCAGGAGACCCTGGGGAGGGACAGAACCCCCAGGGAACAATGGGGACCCCAAGGAGGGCAGAGCCATTCCTGCCCCTCTGCCACACACCCATGGGCTGGCTCCTTCCTGTGCCACTTGAGGCCAGTCCTGCCTGTCCCCAGGACATGCCACCACAAGCTGGGCACAGCACAGGGGCAGAATTTGGCTCCCATCACCCCTCCAGCTGCTCCACTTTTCCCATCCCCAACCCCTGAGCCCTCGGGGTCCAGGGGAGCAGCCAGGGGGCTCCAGGGGGTCACACAGCAGCCTGACCCCTTCCCTGCGTGGGACAGGCGCTGCAGACCATCGGGAACCTGGGGCTGCAGCTGGGGCAGGGCAAGGAGCCCTGGATGGCGCCGCTGAACTCCGTCCTCCTGCCCAGTGTCACCCGTGTCCGGGCCTTCCTGGATGCCCTGGTCACTGTGGAGAGCCCCGAGGGTGAGCAGGGACAGTGGGCAGGGAGGGGACATTGCTGGTGCCACGTCAGTGGCTGTGGGAGTTGGTGGCATTTGGGGTGACACCGCTGCCTCCCTGCCACAGCCACAGTGGGCGAGGTGCCAGTGCCACAGGGACATCCCCAGCCCTCGGCCACCATCAAGGAGGGTCCCCTGCACACCTGCCCAGAGCAGGGGGTGGCACTGCTGCCCCGCTTTGCCTTCAAGAAGAGGCACTTCAGGCTCAGCAGCCAGGCCCTGGCCTATGCCAAGGTCCCCCAGGGGCAGGTGGGTGCTGCCCTGGACCCCCACCCTGTGCTGGGTGCCCAGAGGTGGGGGGAAGGACGTGGGCACATCTTTTGGGGTGTTTGGGGTATCCAGGTGAGCTGCTCCATCCCACTGGAATGAGTAGAGGATATGGACATGGACATGGACATATATTTTGGGATGTTTGGGGTTCCCCAGGTATTCCATGGATATGGGTAATGGACATGGACACATATTTTGGGGTGCTTTGGGGTATCCAGGTGCACTGGTCCATCCTGGTGGAACAGGTGGGGGATGTGGGTGCAGATGTTTCGGGGTGTTTGGGGGTATCCAGGTGCACTGTTCCACCCCGGTGGAGTGAGTGGGGGTTATGGATGTGAGTGCACACATTTTGGGGTGTTTGGGGGTCCCCAGGCACTCGGCTCCATCCCAGTGGAGTGGATCCGGGCAGTGGAGCAGGTGGACAAGGGCACCTTCCAGCACCCCCACGTCCTGCAGGTGGTGGCACAGGATGACACCGGGCAGCTCCACACCACCTACCTCCAGTGCAAGGTGGGTGACCCCACCCTGCCCAGCACCCCAAGAAGCCCAGGAACCCCCCACCACAACGCCCTGGGGCCCCCCATCCCCAGCAGCCAGCCGGGGGCACCCCCATGGGACAATGGGAATGGTCCCAAATCCGGCTGTACCAGGCACCTGCTGTACTGGGAGCACTGGGAGTACTGAGGTCGAGGGGCTAACTGGGTATACTGGGGAAGCTGGGGTGTTGTACCCTGGCTGTACTGGAGTCACTGGGGTACCAGCCCTGTTCGTACTGGGGACCCTGGTGTACCCCGGCTCCCGCAGCACCATCTCCCCTCACTTCCTACCGGGCAGCTTTGCCACCAAACTGTCACTCCTGTCCCCCAGCCTCGGTGCCCATCCCTTCCTCCTCCCTCCTCCTCCTCCCCGGCACTGGCAGTGCCCAGCCCGGGGTGTCCCGGTCCCTGCTGTCCCCGCAGAGCTCCCCGGAGCTGTGGCAGTGGCTGTGGGCGCTGCGCCAGGCCACCAGCGCCAACAGGGACATGCTGCCCACTTGCCACCCCGGCACCTTCCGCGCCGGCCGCTGGACCTGCTGCCTGCAGCCCACCCGCGCCGGTAGGAGCGGGGGTCCCCCGGGGTCGGGGTGGCCGGGAGGGCGGTGTCGGTGTCCCCGTGTCGCCACCGCTGTCGTTGGCAGCGCCCGGGTGCAGCCGTACCCACGGCACGGTGGTGCTGGCAGAGTGGAGCGACCTCGGGGACGCCGCGGTGGCAGCACAGAGCCTCTACGGGCACCTGCGGTGAGCCCGGGGGGTCCCGGGGGGCTTTTGGGTGCCGCTGGGCGCTGGGAAGCTGCTGAGGGTCCCTGTCCCACTGTCCCACTGGCTGCTGGTGCCCACGCGCGGGTCCTGAGGGTCCTTTAGGTGGCGGTGGGCAGGGTGGCAGCGTGTTGAGGGTCTTTGTCCCCAAGGACAGTGGGAGCTGAGCGTCACGGGGTCCTTTGGGTGCTGACAGGCATGGTGAGAGCCCGCTGAGGGTCCCTGTCCTGCACGGTGGGGGGGGACCAGGGGTCCAGAGGGTGGCACAGGGCTCCGGAGGACATTTAGGTGCTGGTGGGCGGCGTGGGAGTGTCCCTGTCCCCCAGGACGGTGGGAGCTGGGGGTCCCTTGGCTGCTGCAGGGCAGGGGGGGAGTGTCTTGAGGGTCCCTGTCGCGCAGGGCAGCGCTGGCCGGGGGTCCCGAGGGCAGCGCGGTGGGCGGGCCCCCCTGCCCGGGCCAGGCAGGTACGGGACGGGACACTGGGGCGGCCAAGGGGTGGGGGCGGGCACCACGGAGCACTGCACTGGCTCCCTCCACGAGGGGACAGCACATCCACACGGGGACACGGGGACACGGACAGTCCGGGAGGCTGGAGGGCGGTGGGGACGCGGGGTGGGATGTGATGGGACGGGGGGAGCGGGTGGGGTAGGGGCGTGTTAGGGGACGGGGCCGGGGGGCACAGCACGGGGGAGTGTCGGGGATGGATGCGGGGCTATGGGGGGGAAATGCCCGCGGGTGGCACCAGGAGACCGCCGCGGGGGTGAGGGGTGCGGGTGGGTGCCGGGCACTGAGCCCACCCCGGGGTGCAGCGGGGCGCCTTGGGGACAGGCTGCAGGAAGTGCTGCGTGACCTGGACATCGCCCACGCCGCCTTCGGCCACCGCGACGAGACCCCAGAGCCACCCCCAAGTCCTCTCCCTGCCCCGAGACCCCCGGCACCCCCCCCAGCCCGCGCCGGGAGGGGCAGGGACGCCGCAGAGGGGACGCGGGGACAGCAGCCCGACACGGGGTGTATTCTGTAACACAGAGATGTACATGGCACCGGCTGTGCGCGGCTCCCTGGGGCAGCGGCGGGTGGCACGGGTGACATGGGTGACATGGGTGACACGGGTGGCACAGACGCGCAAAGAGGCCACGGGTAGAAAAAGACCACGACGCTATCGCCACGAGAGCGGGGCGAGCCGGGACGGGACGGGGCGACAGACAGACAGACAGACAGACTCACACGGGGACACGCGGTGGGTGGCACCGGGTGGCCCGGGACGGGAGAGGAGCCCGCCGGGCAGGGCTGCGGGCAAGCGGCGCAGGCGGCGGTGGCACGGCCGAGGGGAGCTCGGGAGCCCGGCCTCAGTCCTTCAGGGTGGCCTCGGACACGCCCTGGGCCAGCAGCTCGGCCAGGACGTTGTCCAGGTAGTTGGGGTCGGGGTAGCCGTGCCCCGTCAGGTTGGAGCCGAACTCGGTCTTGTGGTGGATCTCGTTCCACACCACAGTGTCCGACTCGCCCGTGGTGTTGGAGGTGCCGATGGTGAAGATGAGCCGCCGGTCCCAGGCCACGATCAGCAGCTTCAGCACCTGCGGTGGGCACGGCCATGGCTCGCCCACCCCACCCCTGGCACGGACTGGCAGGGACTGGCAGGGACTGGCACAGCCACCCGGCACCCCAGCACCTCCTTCCCTGGCACAGCACAGCCTCAGTCCCCCAGGGTGGGATTCAGCCCCAGCACGATGCCCACAGATGCCACCCTTCCCTGTGGTACCCCCCACCCCATCCCACTCCATCCCAGTGCAGCTGCAGCCTCCCCATCCCATCCCATCCCATCCCATCCCATCCCATCCCATCCCATCCCATCCCATCCCATCTATCCTCCTTCCACCCTCTCCTATCCCATCCCACCCCATCGGGGTCTCACCTTCCTGCCCTTCTCGTTGTCTGGCAGGTAGCAGTGCCGTGGGAAGCCTCGTGCCGTGAATTTCTTCCCGGGATTGGGATGCTCCGGGCCCTGGGTGGGTGGGGGGACAGGGGGTGAGCAGGGGGCACGGGGCAGGGGTCACCAGCCCACCTGGGACCCGCCCTCACCTGGATGCCGGTGGGGATGTCGTAGACGATCCGGATGGTTTTGGAGTCGGTGTATCCCGGGAGGGAGTGGGGGATGAGGTGGAATTCCATCTTCCCGGGGGGCTGCGTGCCCGTCTTCTCCCCGTAAATGGCCTTACAGGTGGGGCACTGCAGGCTCCCGTCCTGGGGGCACCGCGGGGGCCTCAGGGGTGCCACCCACCTGGAGCCCCCCAGCACCTACCTGGAACACTCAGCACCCACCTAACACCCCCCAGCACCCCCCAACAACCCCCAGCACCCACCTAACACCCCCCAACACCCCCCAGCACCCCCGAGCGCTCCCCAGCACCTACCTGGAACCCTCAGCACCCACCTAACACCCCCCAGCACCCCCAGGGTCCCGGCACGCTCGCAGCCCCGGGGCGCAGCTGACCTTGTTGCCGTTGTTGTACATGGCGAGCAGGCAGAGCAGGTGGTACATGTGCCCGCACTTGCCCAGCTTGCCCACCAGCTCCGGCTTGATGCCCCTGGGGCTCAGCACGCCCTCGTAGCCGGAGGAGGTGACCAGGCGCTCCATGCAGATGGTGCAATCCTGCCGGGAACGGGATCAGCAGCCGGGGGGGATGAGGGGTGATCCCCGTCCCCTTCCTGAGCCTCCCGGAGCGCCCCAAGCCCCCTCACTCACCTCATCCGGGGGGTTCTTCACCTTCTGGATGTAGCGGCGCACCACGTCCTCGGGGGTCTTACCTGAAGGGAATGCCACGAGAGCCTGGCCGCGGTGACACACCCCCCGGCACAGGGCGGGGCCATCCCGGTCACCCCCTGCCACCGCCACAGCACGTGGCACAGAGATGGGCATCACCCCACGCAAACCCCTTGGGGGCCTCTCACTTCCCCCCCCCGCAGCCCCGACCCCGCAGGGACGCTGGTGGCTCCTTACTCTTCTTGAGCTGCTTCTTTTTGGTTTTCCTGCAGATGCCGTTGACGCCGGGGACAGGTTTGATGTCGCTCTTGCTGACGGGCGGGGGGTGCAGGATGGGTTTGGGGGCGCGGGTCAGGCACACGGGCAGCCCGGCGGCGCACATGAGGATCCCCGTCATCCCTGCGCCGGGAGAGCGCCTGTCTGTCCATCTGTCCGTCCTTCCCAGCCCCTGGCAGCGTCCCCCGCTCCCCGCCCGCGCTGTCACCCCGCGGCGACACCCGGCCGGACCCCGCTTACCTGCGAGGGCGGGATGGACCGGGCCGGTGCCGTTCAGGTTCTTGACCGGGAGCGCCGGGACCCTGCACGGAGACGGGAGGGGAGGGGGCTCAGGCGGGCTGGCAGGGCTGGCACTGTCCCCTCCTGGCACGGCAGGGCCCCAGAGCAGCGGCATCCCCACGGGACACAGGGCAATGTCCCCTGCGGGGCTGCTGGCACTGTCCCCAGACAAGGTGTCCCCTGACCAGCTCAGGGGTCACCCAGTGCCACCCGGCCAGCTCTGGCCACCCAACGGCACCGGGGGCATCACGGCCTCCTCGCTCCAGGCTGGGGGCCTTGTCAGGGTGCCCCGGTGTCCCACAGCCCCGCGGGGACCTGCCAGGGACCCCCAGGGACCCCCACCCTCCTGGGGCTGCCAGCAGCGGCACCGAGCCCAGGGGGAGATGGGGACTGGTACCGGGGAGGGGACGTGTCCACAGGGGTGGGAAGGACAGGGGGAGGAAGGGAGGGATGGACAGGTGGATGTGTGAGAGGG